CATTCCAGCAGAGGGCACGAGATCTCATTCAAGTTGGTTGTGAGCCAACATGTGGTTGCTGGGAATTGAACTCAGGAGCTCTAAAAGAACAGTCAGTGCTCTTAATCACTGAAACATCTCTCCAGTCCCCATAGTCACTTTTTATTTATTTTAGCATGGGTTTTTGTTGGTGTTTGTTCTGTTTGGTATTAATGACACAGGCTCTTTTATAGCCCAGGTTGGCCTTGAATTCCCTATAGATAAGGATAACCTTTAATTGTTAATTCTACTTCCAATAAATGCTAGAATCACTTCCAATAAATGCTACAAATCAGTATTACACAATCTACAGAGCAACATCAAGTCTTGTTATTAAGATAGTTTACAGAAAAGGTTAATGGTATTTTACAGTCTGAGGATTTTATGTTCTGAGTCCTCATGACTATAAAACCTGGAATGTTTTTATCTGTGTCCTTATTTTATTGTGCAGAGTCTATGCCAAAAAGTTGAACAAAGTGAACGAGAAGTAGAGAAACTAATGATGGATATAAATCAATTAAAAGAAGTTAGAAAAGAACAGCATGCGAAGATTAAAGCAGCAGGTAAGCATCGAATGAACACTGTGGGTGCTGGCTTCATGTTTGCATGAGGCTCAGTGATGGACGAGTCAGCAGTCCTGACCATGAACTGGTGCACTGGGATTACAAGTGGTGATTACACTGTGCCCCTAAATCCTCCCTGGGGGTGAACAGGGCACTGTAGTGGGTGTGCTGGGTTGAATAAAAAAGCACAAGACTCATTTTCTCACAGAATACTGTGGCACATAAACAGGAATTAAGTATTATGTCATTCTTATCCTGAATAATCCATCTTTTGGAATCATCTTTACTTTATCGACACAGCTAATTATAAAAGATTGTGAAACAAACACATGTTAAATCCTTATTTTCTTTAGGAGAGAAGACTGTCCAAAACAACCCCCAGGAGAATATCCTTCTTTGTCAAGCTTTAAGAACCTTTTTTCCAGAGTCCGAAGTCCTTCATTCTTGTGTTATTTCTTTGAAAAACAGACATATTTCTCAAAGTGGGTGTAACACGAACCATCATCTTGATGTGGCTAAGCTGACCTTAATGGTGGAGTATGTTCACAGCCCTGATGCTAGTCCAACCTCTGAAGCCCAGCTGACTAAGCGTAAGGCTCTAGACACGCAAGAGCAGTGGCCTATGAAGAAACCACGATTGTTGGAGACAGAAAGCAGACCTCTGACAGATTTCCAAAGCAGTCACCAAAACAAAACTTCCTCCAGCAACCTAGATACAGACACAGAGATGGGGAGCACAGAAGAGGATGGTGAATATCCTCGGTCTCCCACATTTTGATTGTTAGATGATGTTTTTGACTTGACTGAGGTTCAGACCACTTGTTCCTATTTTTACTGTATTCAGCTGTTTATAATGTATGAATAAGGTATTTTTACTGTTCCAACTGTTTATAATATGTAAGTTAATGTTTTATAAAATATCTTAGAAATTCTTATTTATATCTCATACATTGTAAATGCTTTGTAAATGTGTGCATGCTCAGCTAAGCTGCAACCTCCCCCTCCTCATTTCCCAGCCTCTTCTTACTGTGCCTTCTGCTGGCAGTAATTTCTCCTTTCATATCTCGTGTGTTCTGTTACCTTCCTCTCCCCATAGATTCTTTGTCTCCCATCTCATGGCCCCTTTCTAGTGTCTTCACTTCTGTTTATCCACATCTAAAGTACTTTTTAGAAATAGAGACATTTTTCTTTTTCTTTTTTTTTCTTTTTTCTTTTTTGGCCTTATTTATACTCGCAGGGCAGGAATGGAATCTAGGGCCATGTGAATGGTAAGCAGCTTCTCTACCATTGAACTGCAGTCTAAATTGTTTGGGTTTTTTCCGTACTTTTTTTGTTTTGTTTGTTTGGTTTTTTTGTGTGTGTGGTTTTTGTTTTGTTTTGAGACAGGGTCTCTCTGTATAGTTCTAGCTGTCCTCAAACTCAAAAATATCTGCCTGCCAAGTGCTGGGATTAAAGATACATGCCACCCTCTGGGCACTGGTGGCCCACACCTTTAATCCCAGCACTGGGGAGGCAGAGGTAAGCATATCTCTGTGAGTTCTAGGCCAGCCTAGTCTACAGAGCAAGTTCCGGGACAGGCTCCAAAGCTACACAGAAACCCTGACTCGAAAAAAAAACAAACAAAAAAGATACATACCACCACACCCAGCTAAGATGCTTTTATTTCAAAGCCACAACTTTTCAACTTCCTCCCTAAGTCATCAAGGGAAAGATTAAATAGATGCATTCTTTTAAACTAGAACATTCTTCAAATTGGAAACGAGAAACTAGCTTTGTTTTACAGCACAGAAATAAAGCACAAAAGTTTGTGAGATTGGGCCTGGGACTTGGCTCAGCTGGCACAGACATCTGCAATCAAGACTGACAACCTGAGTTGGATTCCTGGGACTCCCACGATGGAAGGAAGGAACCGCCTTCCACAAGTTCTTCTGACTTTCACACTGGCATATACATGAAACCCCCATAAATAAATGTTTGTAAAATCTTATTTTTATCTACTTCATTGCAATTCTTACTGAAGAGAGAGCCCAGCAATTAAGAGTGCTTGAAGCACTTCCAGGACTGGAGTTTGGTTCCCAGCACCTTTAGGTAGCTCACAACTACCTGTTAACTCCAGCACCAGGGGTCCAATCAGTGCCCTCTTTCAGCTTCCAAGAATGTTCGTTCTCTCTCTCCCTCCTTCCCTCCCTTCTCCCTCTCAAATTGAGTGGTGATAACAACACATTTCAATCCCACCACATGGGAGACAGAAGCAGGCTGACCTCTGAGTTGGAGGCCAGACTGGCCTATAAGAGTGAGTTTCAGGATAGCCAGTGCTACATAGAGAAACCTTATCTTGGAAAGCCAAAAAGAATTAAATCTCTTTTAAAACTCTTAAATGCTGACAGTCTGTTAAGGTGGACTTACCAGCATGTATCTACATGCAGTTCCCACCTCAGGACAGATGACTACACAAGCCCAGGAATTGGGAAATCTATCTGTCTCAAAAGTGCACACATGGTACCTTCACACATTTTACTCACTAGACATTTAACACAGAACACACACCTCCCCCTTGCTCTACTTGTTGCTTCCTAGAGAAACTACTTAAGATATGGCTTAATTATATGGGGTAATTCTGAAACCACCCATCACCCAGGGGATGGTTGGTACAAATTGCTGGGGTGTTTTACTGGTGATGTAGTAAAGTGGTACTGTACATGGCTGGAAAGGAAGAGCCACAGTTGTCACTAGATCTTTCTCATATCACCGATGACTGTAAGCAGATTGTGTATGTGCCATACCTTCGTGTAAGGAACACTGTGTTCAAGGATACACTTCCCAGGAATGGTCTGTCTTGCAGGGCCTGGCCCAGAATCAATCCCACCTCTGCAAAGAGAACTGTCACAATCAGGTGCTAACTAGTGAACTAACTAGTTAGCAAAGGACTCCTGGAGCCCAGGAGAAACCTCAGTCAACAAAGTCTCAAGTCTGAGGACATGTGTTTGGAACCTAGCAACTACATTAAAATAAAGAAAAGGCCAGGGCTGGGGCATGACTTGGTATAAAAATGCCGCACAAGTCTGACAACCTGAAAACTGGTCAAAGGGAGTCTGACTGAAGAGCCAAGTGCAGTTGTGTTTTGTTTAACCCTGGCACAGTGATGTGCATTTGAGTCCCTGGACTGGATGCAGAGAGAAGAGGCACCCTGGGGCTAGTGAACTCCAGATTCTGTGAGACCTGGTCTCAAAACATGAGGTGAATGGGCTAGTGCAATGGCTTGGTTGGTTGAGATACTTGTACTAAACCTGGAGACCTGGTTTCTGACACCACATAATTCATGGTTGGAAGGAGAGAACCAACGCTTGGACAATGACCTCTGACCTCCAAATGTGCTCTTATGGCAGGCACACACAAATCAGAGAGTAATTTTTTTATATATATAAAAAAGTGGAGATAACATTAAAAGGTCTAGTATCTTCTAGCCTCCATAAATCCCTGTTCACACACAAAACCACAAAATGATTCCAAGCAAGCTGAACTCCACAGCCTTATTCAAACACTACCTTTCTATAACCATTCCCCTAAAACCATCCCATTTACAAGAATAGAATGTGGGCTCAGGTGGATTCTAATAGAAGCCCTCCCCTTCCATAATCAAAAGCACTGTATAAAGAAGCTGTGACAACCATGAGGTACCACTTTTACCAAAGTGTACAATGTAACATTACCATCTCAAGCAGTATGTCCAGAGACACTCACTGGTGTGGAGAGGGTGCATCCCTCCTAATCTATTGAAAGACATTTCTATTCAAATTAGTTCAAGTCAATGCTGACATATCCACTTCCAGGTTTATTGGCAGTACTTTACACAACTTATTCCCGGTATCTGATGTTACAAACTTTAGGGTCTTTGAGATATGCAGGATCCTTGTATGTAACCGGCATAAACCCTGTAAAGAGATAATTAAAGTCCTTCACAAAGACAGTGAGCAAATCTTAACTAGTCCCATTCATTTGTGCAGGGGGACTTACCCATTTTCTGAGCTCTCTTAATGGCTTTTGTTATTTCTTTCTGTTTCTTTCCACAAAGACCTGTGAAAATAGAACACGTGCTTTCCTACACATCAGAAAATAAGAACACTACACTTACAGCAGCTTTCTAAGTCGAATACTGCTAAGTTTTTTTCTGTGAAGAAAGTGGAAAACCTTTTGTGGGTCATTTGGTCTCACACACTCAATTCTGTTACTGTAACTCAATGACAACCATGTGGCCCTATGTAAACAAAAAAAAAAAAAAAAAGCAAATGACAGTTTGGATAGAGTCATCAGTTGCTGACACTAAGTTCTGGTCTAGGGATGGTAATTTTACAATAGATTTAGGTTGGCCATCTCCAATGCAGGTGGGGTATGTGCACATGAGTGCAGGTGCCTTCGGAAGCCAGGCATGCTGTATTCCCTGGAGCTGGAGTTACAGATGATTATGAGCCACCTGCTGTGGGTGCTGGACACTGAACTCCAGTCCTCTGCAAGAACAGTATGCATTCTTAACTGCTGGGCCACCATCTAGACCCAAGATACAATTTTCCTTAAGCCCAAATTTCTGCATGTTGTCACCCTGAAGAGAAAAAGCAATTGCCCCTTGCACTGAAGGTCTTCTTCCCTAAAGACCTCACTCCAGTCCCTGTGGCAGCTGGCTTAACAGTGACTAAAAACTTGCCAGTCTCCTGAAATAGCAAAATCCATCAGCGTAATTCTTATCTACATTTACATTTCTAAGATTAAAAAAGTACCTGTTATGTGCCTTCCGTAAATGCATCCAGTAAATGGAGAAATAAACTGGGACAAAAGCTGTTTGGGGGATACATTTGGAAGGGGAAAAATAATTAGTATATTTGTTATTCAACCCTGAATGTGCAAACTTAAAAAACATTCAGAAACAACCTTCAAGTTATTAACATTTAATGTGTTTCAAACAAAGTTAATAACATGAAATAAAATACCTTGTAGTAACAAGGCAACTTTAAAAAGTTAACATCTAGTGTATCACAGCTTGACAAGAACAAGTAACATGAGTCAACCTATATGTTAGGTCCCAAGGCTACCAACTCCCACCAGCACCTACAACACTGCTGCTTACAGTCAGTTACTGGATACTTTGCCTGTCATGGCAGGCTATGGAGTGAGCTCTTAGGAGACACAGACTAGGGCATTTACTCTAACCTATTTCTTTGTTTGGTTTGTTTTGTACTCTAACTTATTCTTATTGAACACTTCAATAACTTTGTAGATAGTAGACACTGTGTTTGGCTCTCCCCACAATCATCTGCTGCATTGTAGTTTTTAAAATTTATAATTTCTTTCTTCAAAGGAGAAAATGTTTAACTCTAATATCATTCACTTTCCCCAAATTTGCTGAAAGCTTAAGGAGAAACAGTATTTAGAGCAATAGCATATGATAGTGAACTGTACAGGTCAACTTCCCAAGAGGAACTTTCCCCAAAGCACTCATTTCTATCCATGTGCAGTGAGCTACTTAGCAAAAACAGAGAAAAAGGAGAAATACTTAGCCAAATAATGACAGAGGGGAGCCAAGGGCTCTAAGCTGAATAGGGATAACATAGGACATTATAACCATACTTGATATCATGAAGTTACCGAGTCTGTCCTACATAAAACCTGATGACAGTGACACGATCTTCTGAACAAATGAACAAAGAACAGAATCCTTGTCTAGTACCACAGAGTTAAACAAACGCTCACCTGTATATTCTTATAATCAACCTGTTTCTCGCACAAGATACACTTCTTAAGGGGCTCCTTATAGGGGTTTTCCATCGGGATTGGCTAGGATAAAACAAGAGTCTCATGATGAGAAAATGTTAAGACTGAGTCAGGAAAGTCAAAGCTACAGCTACACTTACAATTTCTTTATGCAAGCATCTTATTTTGTGTCAATCTGGATGGAGAGGAATTACCTCATGAAATATCCTGCACTGAAGAATCATTTCTGCAGAAAAGGACTTCAAGATAAGAATGCTGATGAAGGGTTCTTTGCTCAAATGCTGCATTAGTTTATTCAAAATTAGTGCAACTAAAATTTTATTTCAAGGTAATTCTTTGGTATACATATAATTTTATCATTTTCTCTCAGATTTATTAAGAGTGAGAGAGAGAGAGAGAGAGAGAGAGAGAGAGAGAGAGAGAGAGAGAGAGAGAGGTGTGTGTGTGTGTGTGTGTGTGTGTGTGTGTGTGATTATACTTCTACAGCTCTCACTCAGACTGCCTCTCCTCTCTTGCTGGTCCCCTTCATTCCCAATAACACCCTTTTCTGCTTCTAAAGCAGCACTAACGAAACATATGTATCCCACGACCTTCTTTTTCCCCTTGCCCTTTGAAATTCTTCTTTCCTTGTCACAGTCCCTTTTTATGTTCCTGTTCCGTAGTTTGTTTTGTTTTGTTTCTTGAAATAGATTCTCACTGTGTAACCTCAGCTGTCCTATAACTTGTTGTGTAGCACGTGGCAGTCTCAAACTCTCCACCCTCCTTCATGAGCCTTCCAACTGCTGAAATTACAGGTTTCACCACCACACCCTGGTACAGGGTCTTAATTTAGAAATGACTTTGAAATCTATAGTCTTCCTTAATTGTGACAAATGAGTATGACTGTGTATGTTTTCTAATTTTCATTAGTCACAGTGGGATTTATGACTTAAAACAGAAGAGTAAATTTCCTTTATTCTTTTTAAGTATGACATATGAATTAGATGACTAAGAAAGACACACATTTGTTTAGACGAATTCCTTGGTATATAACAGTTCCCTAAGATTTCTTTGTTTTCTTGCTTTTTTTTTTTTAACATTTGATTTTAGCTTAAAGGCCAAAAAGTGATTGTTTTTGTTGTAGCTCTGAGTGGCCTTGAGCTCAAAAGATCCTCCTGCATCAGTATCCTAAGTGCTGTTATAATATGTTTGTACCACCCTGTCTAGCTTGCCTTGAATTTTCTTAATCCAATTTATAATCAGTTGAGACATAAGCTGTATTCCTTTTCAACTCTAGCCAAGTACTTGTATGGTGTGATTAGGTGCCCACATCCATGTTCATACTTTAAACCCATAAAAATACACCTACAGTTTAGAAGCAGCTGGTTAAATGTCCTAAAGTAAAACTAATTTGGTGGAAGGCAGAGGCAGGTGGATCTCTGTGAGTTTGATGCCAGCCTGGTCTACGGATGGAGTTCCAGGACCTCCAGGGCCACACAGAGAAACCCTGTCCTGAAAAACAAAACAACTTTAATTTGTATCTCTCATCAAGGTAGCATGTCAAACTGATAAATTAGATAAAAGATAGTGCCATACCAAAATTTCCGCATCTACAATTATTCTATCTACCTGAGCTATCTTTAGAAATTCTCAAATCATATATCCTTTAATATCTAGGGAAAAAAACATGGTTTTACCGAAGCCTGAATTTAGGAATTCTCTTCAAAACCTAAGTGACTATAGTCAGTAAGTTATGCTTTCCAAACTCAAAGTAAATATCGTTTTGTTCTATAATTAAATTCCAAATAGAAAAAAAAACTAGGCTGAATTTGGAAATGGCTTAGTAATATAAGGGGGGAAAAGTCTGGGGCTGGATGGGTGTGGTTAAAAGCACTTAATGTTCTTACTGAGGACAGTTAGGATCCCAGCACCCACATCCAGTGGCTCACAACCACCTCTAATTCCACCTCCAAGGGATCTAACACCCTCTCTGGCTTACACAGTTTCCCCCACCCCAATGTACACACAAATAATAAAGTAAATGTTTTCTTTAAAAACATAAAAAGAAATCTTACCAGGTCCTCATTGCTGGCTACCTGTTTATACTGTGAACAACCTCTTCTCCACAGCACTGTAATTAAATAGAAATGGCAATGACCCAACTGTTTTCATTCACTGAATATCTAACAAAGACTTAATGTTTTTAAAGAGACTACATGAATCATAACGCATGATATAGTGCCGGGCATGGTGGCGCACAGCACTTGGTAAGCATAGGCAGATGGATCTCTGTGAGTTCCAGGACAGTCAGCTACATTAATACTGAGATACTGTCTCAAAAAACAGGGATATAACCCCCCCAAAAAACACCACCCGCACAATATAGAGGTTCCACATTCTTTTTACTCAGTGATTTGTTAACGTCTCCTATAAAACCTTTCCCCTTTCTACAGTTGTTAGCTTGTAATGCAAATATGAACACAAGCAACGGAAGGACACTACCATTCCAAAGGGAAAACAAGGAAAAGATTCGAGCCGTTGACAGAGAAGCACAGAAACAAACATCAAAAGTAAAGCCTTGACTACACCCCCACAGTCCTCTTCAGCTCTGAGAAACCAGTGTAAAGTGACTCGAGCTTCCCACCCATCTTAAACTTAAGTGCTAACAGTGAAGACGCCATCGACCACCAGAAGAAGCAGACTGCGGCTGCAGGGCTCTGCTGCAGAGCTCTGCTGCAGACTTTACCGGTGTGAGCTCCGCGATCCGCGAGGCAGACTGCAGCCGGTGTCAAGCTTTTCCTCCCTACACCAGCGCACACGGTAACCAGAGCTGCCATGGTTCTCCGCCCTTGCTCTTCCTTTCCTTTCCCTGATCGCCCGGACGGGTCCCTCCGGGTACTCGTCCCCCGATGGCCCCGGGGACTCCACGCAAAGGTTCCGGGTACGGAAGCAGACGGAATTTCAATGTGACCGCAGGGCTGCACCTTTCTGTTCCCGCCCTTCCCGGGCCGGAAGTCACGTGACACGCATCCCGGGCTGCGGAGAGATGGAGAGCCAATGCTCGGGCACCTGCATCCCCAGAGCGGCGGGGGGGGGGTGAGGCTGGGGG